ACCAAGTTACTTTTTTCTTAATTTCCACTGTAGTGAACAGAAAGGGTAGGTAGGATTTGAGAACCAGTCCCTTAATATTATTTCTAGATTTTGACATTTTTTATATATAAAATATATATATTTAATTAAATTTCTTTTGATACATGTAGAGGTAAAAAAAAAATTAAATTCAAACCTTAAACATTTTAGATTATTCAAGAGAAACTAACAACGAACAATCAGAGTCTCATCACATGCACATGATTATGGGATACAAAAAATTATTAATCTTGAATTTCAATAAGAAAAGTTTCAGAGATACCAATCTGTCAAAAAAAGTTGCAAGCATGTATTTGAAGAATTAAGAGGTGAGGAGGTGCCACCCTCCCCACTTCCTCACTAAATAAATTTATAAAAGTGTTAGACATGAAATGCTTGCCCTAGTATACTTTATATACAAAGAAGGCAAGAGAGTAATCAAGTTTTGTTAATAGATTAAGTGATCTTAAGACGAAGCATGTCTTTCCCACATATTTTCTGCACGAATTCTGAATTCTAATATTCCGCCAGCCTCGTGATATTGGCCCAATTAAGAATTAAAATATTAGCTATAATTGGGTCGTTTTTCTCCAATTGCTTCCACCGGCAGAGAATATGATGTTTTTGGTAGATTTCTTTTTGTTTGGTAATGAATTTTATTGTTATTTACAACATAAGCAAATATGGTACTCTTAGTATAATGATTTTAATAAAACAATACTAAAATTTAAAAAGGATCTCCACGATTTCATAAAACTTGTATTGATTTTTGAAAACTTGAAGTGTTAAATATGCCAAGATGCGCGTATGGAGGGGGGGAAATTTGAATAAAATTTTATTATTAGAAAAAAAAAAAAAAAGTGGGGGGGGGGGGGAGAAGATATCAGTGGTGAGGCCCACCAAAAATGCAAAGCGCGTGAAAGTGGAGCCCACGCCATGATGTTTGGAACTTGAGATCGCGCGGGAGTCGCGGCCTATAAAGTATAAAAGAAAAGAAGCAAGAGACTGGTTCTTAGCTTTTTCATATTTGCTGACTTTTTTTTTAACTTTTGAATGTTTCCCCCTTTAGCATTACTTGCGCAATTTGCAAATACGGTGGCTTAAAAGATTCAATTTTTTAATTAGATGATGTTAGAATTTGAATTGGCCTACCTTTAGCTCTTAATTTTATCAACAAATTGGTGACATCTCCATTGACGTTTTCATATTTGACCATAACCTATTTGGCTGTATTTCTGTTGCTACTCACCAATACCATGGTACCACCAGATCTAGTGAGCCATTTGTTAATTTGGTAAGTCGTTGACTAATTACATTGACACCAACTTGGGGAGGAAAAAGGTTGAAATAGGTAGGCCATGCACTTTGGGCCACCTAAACTTGTTCAAAGAAGCCTTGAAGTGATTTTGTTAATGGAGTTTAGTTTACATTTTATTTGAATATCGAATGACATTTGTTTTTATTATTATTTGAGATAAGAGAGATTTGAAGTACCTTATAATATCAGAGATACGTAAACTCATGGTTAAATCAAATACTCAAATCCATATAGAAATATGACTTTAAGATAAAGATTATAAAAATTCTCAACCTAATACTATAGCAATATATATATATGTAAAATGCTGCACAAATTTTTTTATAATATGGTAAGGGATTTTTTCAAGTTTTATTTAAATTTATTTTTTTAGAACATACTTTTTCACATTAATTAATGCATTTATAATTTTATTTTTTAAATACTCCTCTTAATAATTGAATTCATATGGAAAAAAAAAACGAGTTCCTCCTTTTACAAATTCGACTAATTTTTTTAAACACAATGATGCACACTCACAATATTTCCATAAACTCATATATATATATATATATATATACATTAATGAGTAATTGGTTATATTTTAATTAAAGTGTTAAAAAGTCATATAATATCAAATTCACACACTAACTCAAAACATATGATACTTATCCGTACCAGGATCTTAGATAAAAAAAAATAGTAAAATGAAAAATATATTGAGATGTAGGTGGAAGAATGACCATGTGATGACACCTAAAATGAATGGAATGACATTTGTGAAAAAAAAAAAAAAAGCGGAAAACTTGGTGGAAGAACCTTCAAATACCCGATTTGGATTTTAATTGTGGGGAAAAAGAAAAAAATAAGGAAAAAGTGATCACTTTGCGACGATGTTTAGACTGCCCGTTAAACCCAGCTTCTTAGTTGACCGTGGATGGCTAAGCCACCCGCAATCGTGGCATTTTCTTTGCGTCTTTTGTTGTATTAGCAGAATAAAGGATAGGAATGCTTGTTTGAATCACGTGCAGGGCATAATTATTACAAACAATCATCAATTTTTGGTTCTAGTGGGGTTAATGTTGGGTGATCTTGAGGTAGTTGAGTTGAACTATAAACAATTAAACATACTTCTTACTAGTAATATTCATATAATAGTCTCATCTTTTTGGCTAATAATAACATAAAACAAGAGTTTGAAAAAAAAAATTTACTTTGTAAGTTAGACTCTGTTGCAAGCAACCGTCAAACTGAACAAACGGCGAATAAACATAATTTGCAGCACGTTTGAAGCAGCTAAAAAGAGATATTCGATAAGAGTATACAAGATCACATGTTTCCATGTACTCTCACTAGCTGCACTCACCAACGAAAGAAAAGCAAGATCGTATTTTTTAGAGTTAGAAAACATGTTTCAATACTAACAGGCTCCCCACTGCATATGGGCTGTGAGAGCTTGGGGAATAGAGGTTCCGTGCAAGTGTGTAGAGGAGTCCAGGGATCATGTTTTCTTTGGATGTAACTTTGCAAAATGAAGTTTGACAAAAGGTTCTTCAGCTATGTAGAATCAGTAGGGGAGTGGGGACTTGGACTACAGAGTTAAGTTGGGCAGAAAAGAGATTGAAAGGGAGAGCATTGATTTCTATTATACTATGCTTAGCATGGAATGCGTACATATGCGTGATACAAAGGGAAAGAAATAATCGACTATTTAAGCAAATGGAAGAGACCTCAGCGCAGGTGATGGATCGAATCAAAAATGCTATTAGAATTAGGTTGCATGGGCTTAATAGGATTGCTAGGGATGTTATTTAATAAAGCCTTTTGTGATGCATGGAGCCTTAATATTATTACGGTAGAATAAGCAGATAGTAGAATTTATTATTTGATTACTTGTAAAGTTGTGAATTGTTGTTTACTATAGCATATCACTGCTATCTTGGATGAATGAAATTTCAGATTTATAAAATTAAAAAAAAAAAAAAAAAAGACATTGGACACAGATAAAAAGGAGATAAGAAAAACAAACTATATATATCTATGGCGAGCATCGCGTGCTTTCAAATACTTCTGCTTGACTATAACAGACTCCAATGCCTCATTCTGCTTAGCAATCTCAACACGTACAGTATAAAAATGTTCCGGCCATAAGGTCACACTTGACAGTCAAATAATCATCAAGAAGAAGAATGTAACCTGTGCAAAATTTTTTGGATATATATATATATATATATATATATTATGGAAAACTAACCATTTTTGGCAACGTCATTTTAATCAGGGTTGTGACCTACATGAAGGTAGAAAGGCGATGGTTTCTGGAGGGGCAAGAGGATTATGAAAACAAAAATGATAAATTCCTCGTCTTGTGGCTTTTAACTCAAACTTATCTCCCGATGTTCCTTTCAGAGAGTGCACTAGATTACCACCACCTGCGCATAAAAGCCCTCATTAGGATGATAAAAGATTAAAAAGTTAATGGTAACATACTGTTTAGAGATGCAGGGTTCGTATGTGTCTTCTGCCAAAAGTGAAGAATGTGACAACTTTTTAATTAGTTCACGCTAAAGCTTTGAGACTTAAAGATTTGATTACATATATACACATATATATATATATATATATATTGTGTTTGAGGTTGCGAGTATTATTTTGACATATCATACTATTATTAACATGACCCTTTATTTTGCATAAAAAATAAATAAATTCAATTGGCTTATGAATCTCTAAATCATGATTTTCAAGCTTATTTCAAACAAATCCTGTGTGCAAAACTGTAACCACAAAAAATACAATTTCGAAGAGGAAAAAATGAAGAAGACAATTCAAGTGGAGCTTACGGTGAAATCTATTTCAAGATGTACAGAATTCCAAAAAATTTCATGATCCACGAATACGAAGCTTCCAGAAATTATATCTCCTTCAGAGAGGACGAGCTCGGATGCACATTAGACTTCCACTACTGTTACATAAAGAGAAAAAACATGGGAGACATAACAACTACGAAGAAATCCCAAGACAAAAATGAATTTTGCAAACACAAATTTGATAAATGTCTCCATTTGATTTTTTAAAATCTTTACTATTATTAGTTTACATGGATTGAGTTCTATTAGTTTCTTTGAACGTATTTAATGAATCTTGAATGGCACAATGTTTGCAATTTTGAAAAACAAGTTAAGGAGTTGGATAATATGGTTTATTATGGATTCATAATTAGTTCCATCATCTTACAAACAGAGCAGATCAGAACCACGATTCAAATGTAAAAACTTAGATGATGCCAAATTTTTTTCTTCCATATTTGTAAAACATATTTAAAATTAATTTATATTAACATGAAAGATGTAATTAAATAATTGATACATATTTTTCAATTCAAAAAGTTAAATTCGAATCTTTTCATCTCATATATACGTATATGTACGCATATAAACTTATTTAACTTGATAAATTTTGAATATAAAGAAGTAAACACCTACAAATTATTTCTGTTATTTAAAGAAAGTGACAATATATAAATAGAATTCATTGATTTACGGAAAATATCAAGAAAATTAAAATAAATATTACTATAAAATTCCATAAATTTATATATTTGATTTAATTATTAAAAAAGCAAAAGTTTAATTTATATAAATACATATTTTTATTTTTTACCTATATTATTTTTTGTTCTCTTCAAGTTTTTATTATATAAAAACTTTGCCCAACGGTTAAAAAGCTAGAAGACGCTCTCCGAATTTCCTCTCAGATTGAGTCCCTAAATGTTCCTACTCTATTCTTCTGTTCTCTCAACTCTTTTTTCCATTCTCCGTTAGATTTTGAAAAAAATTAGACCCAACTTTTTTTCTTCTTTCGTTTTGCTAATTTATACAGTGGCATTTGCTTCATTCTTAGGTAACCGATTTGTTTTTGTTTCCAAAGGTGTTCGTTGGACGCGTTAACGACTGGAAATCTATTTGCGAGTGGAATCCTTCTAATGGCGGCCTTGATATGTGGAGGTTTTCTCTTCAATCCTTGCTTCTCTTTTTATAAATTTATATAATGAACTTTTACTCTGTAATTGTTTTAATCAGTTTCGTTTCTTTTTCTCCTTATTTTCTTCCTAGTAAAAAGAATGTTTATTTTTAAATTTTGCAGTGAGTTTGAAATCCAAAAAATTCTCTGGATTTTTATTCTGGGCATCTTTCAGAACATGTTTCTTGCAATGGCGGCTAGTTTGCAATCTCCTACAAATATTATTACACTTTCAGTATATTACTCTTTTAGTATGCGCCTGGAATTTTCATCAATGCTATTTTGAATTTTTTGAAATTGGAAACTATTTTCCTGAACGATTCTTCCTATATTATTATTCGTATTTAAAATTGATAAAATTATGTTAAATCTTAATGGCACCCACTGGATGGAACCCTTCTGCAAGTCCCAGTTATGTCCCATGCCTATATATGGGGAGGCCTCAAACAATAGGTATGCTACTTTGCTTATCTTCATCAAGGACTTAATTTGCTTTTATTTTCTGTATTTGAGTGGCTCTGATTAAGAAAAAGAAACGTTTTTGAAATCTTGCGTGGCTACATGATCGACTGTCAACTGCAAATTTTTATTTCTTTAACAGTATCGTTGCTCCGAGCAAAACGCAAAACTCTCTTGGCAGTTCTGTGTCTTTGGAAAACCCTGAGTTTTCAATTCATCCAAGAGCAAAATATTCCATGGAATACTCTCAGAAGGTTATTCTTCATGCAGGTGATGCACTTTTTTTCATGTAGGCTGGTAAGGTTAAGCTCTTACTTTCTATGAGAGTATTGCTAGCATTGTTAGCATGCTTCCCTTAACTTTCTTTTTTTTATCTTAATTGGCCCTTAAGTTTCAGAATAACACTGGTCTTTCTTTCTCCAATATCAATTCTATCTCTCTTCAAGTTTAGTACATCTTATTCATAAGTGACAGAGAGCATCTGCCCTCTTCTATAAAGTTCTTTTATTTTAGATTTGATTATGAGTGTAGCCAATGTAGTGCTGTCAGTCTGGCAATTATACTTTGAATTTGGAGATAAGAAGTTAGAAATTTCCAACAGTGATTTTGATGTGGAATTTACGCATTTTTATGAAAATGGAAGGCAAGAGTGATACTGACTAGGATGTGAGTGAGTGTACATTCAATAATACTTCCTAGCTAAATGCGATATGTGCTTTTTCCCTTTTACTCGGGTTGGTGGGTCACTTGATCATCTCCTATTTTATAAGATTGAGTACTTCATTTTATAATATTTGCTTTTTTTCAGTTTATTTGCCCATTTGAAATTATTTCTCCTTTTGACCAGAAGTTCAAAGCTATTTAATCCTATTGAATGTGTTGTCCTTGAAGGAAAAAAAAAAAACATTGAATCTTTTTTGATACAACAAATACTTCTAATCTATTCTCTTTTCTCTACAACCAGTTTTGGAAACTCTCCTTACCCTAAGGGAATTGTTGAAATTTGGAACCAACCAAATACTTGGATGCCTTAGCACTTTGATTTTGTACTATAGCCACTGTTTTAAACAGGAAAACCGAACCTTAAAGTAAAGTTGCTTGGTGCTTTGTGAGTTGACTTTTCTGTTGACAGCTGTTCTAGAGAATCATAAAAGACATAGTGAGCTAGTGAAGCATATACTGTGAGGGCATCTGTTCATAAGACAAAGTTATAAAGTAAATATTGTGAAGGAGAATTTTAGCCTTTACAAAAGATTTAGGAACTTTATTGTCTTTTCTTGATGTCATTGAGTAAAGGCCTACCTTTAACTTCATTTTTAAAACTTAAATGTTGCTTGCTTTTTTCATCACTGCCTGTTTGGTTTATAATACAAACTCACTAACCATTAGAAGTTTTATTTTTCTTTTTCCTCTTGACAATATATTCTTGTTGGAGCTACAGTGTTTCTTATAGACCATTCGGTTAGGTGATTTTCATTTCCTATTGATACAGGTTCCACCAAGTAGATGGCGATGATTTGACAATTGTTGTTAATTATTGGTGGTGCTCCAGCACAATGTCTAGCTTTGCAGACCATATGAAGGCATATTATTTGCACAAAATGTTTTTAATATTTTTGCTTTTTAAAATATTTTTTATCCTTACCATATTTGCCTATGAAAATGATTCTATTAATCACTATTAATATTGTAAGCTAACTTGAGTTTCTGTTTCTCATGGAATGAACTTGTTATGTGAAGGTTGACAGACAGAGAAAAGGTATGCATGCTGCTATGCTTTTTGCTGCAGTTATGTTTTTGATTCTTGGTTGGGCCAACACTCCTCTTGTCTGGTCATTTCAACATTCTATGATACACTGTATGCTTATTGGTGAATCTTTATTCTTGATTGTGACTTCTATCCGAATTGTAGTCTTTGAGTTTGCAGAACTTTTACCCATCTCCAGAATTGTAATTTTAGATATTTTTCTTTGCATTAATAGCTCATTTAAAGAACGGAAACTGTTTTCTTAGAAATTTGGGTTTAAATCATGTATTGGTCCAGGCAAATCCATTATATGTAAAATAAGAGATAAATAAATCGAAATGCTTTTAATGATCTTATTGACCCGACCAGGAATTTTTATCTTGTAGCTGTATCTTGTACGGAAGCTTGAACTTTTTGGTGGAAGATATAATTCTTCATCTGCTTTCTGAACTGTTTTTTAATCTCATCAATTCTTAGGGAGATAAGCAGCACTGTTCTTATGTTTTACCACTTTTTCTTTATTTCTGTGGATTGAAATGTACTACATTATTTGCTTGTTCAGTTGTCCCAGGTCCATCAGCAACTGAGTTGTGCGTTCTATCAGGAAAGGACCAAGTACTTCTCTAGGGTTCTTCTGCTATGTGGAGACAGGAGAGAAATATACCAGAGAAGCCATGTAACAAAGTTCAGTATCTAATAAGCATGCTGACTTTCTTAAAAAACAAGAAAAGATAAACATTCTGAGAAACCTATGTTATGTTTTTATTTGGTCATGTTATTCTTTTAATTGATAAGGAAATGAAAGCCACTGATATATCAAATTATCTCATCAGAGTTTTATAAACTAAATCTTCAGTGAACTTTTGATATCTTGTTGCTTATCTCTAACCAGTGTGGACTAGAAACATGATAGATGATGAATTAGGCAGCATTGGTTAATGTGATAAACAGCGTTGTTCTTATGTTTCGCCACTTATTCTGAAATTTTGTGGATTGAAATGTACTAGTCTCTGCTTGTTCAGTTGTTACTTTCCTTTTCATTTTCCTGGGTCCATCAACCACTGAGTTAGGTATTCTATTAGGACAGGACCAAGTACTTCTCAAGGGTTCTACTGTTATGTAGAGACAGCAGAGAAATATACCTGAGCAGCCATGTAACAAAGGTCAGTTTCTGACAAAGCATGCTTGACTTTCACCAAAAACAAGAAAAGATAAACATTCCGAGAAATCTACTGTTTTGCTTCGTCATGTTGTCCTTTAGATTTTTCTTTTAATTGATAATGAAATGAAAGCCGCTAATATTGTTTTGCTTGCATTCTGTGTGAATTAAACTTGATAATTTTTTCAGTAGATCATTTTGATTATAGCTTGGATTAGGCTAGCCAGAGAAGGGATTTGAAAGGGAAGGAACAACAACATAGCCTTCTTTTGCATGAATTGGAACCCTATGCTGTCCAGGCTTTTCATCAACTAGTTGCTCTAGCTCATGACCAGGTTAATACTTCTGATTAAAGCCTACCTGCATTGTCTACTTCAACAAATGGTTTGATGTGTTATGCAACAGATGAGCAAAATAAAACTTTAATTACTGAAACATTTCATTTAGAAGATGATCCAGTAGCTAAAATTTTCTGGATCCTTGAACTGGGCATCTTTCAGGATTTGTTTCTTGCAATGGTGGTGAGCTTGCATTCTCCTACAAACGTTGTTACACTTTCAGTATGCGCCTGGAATTTGCACTAATGCTGTTTTAAATTTTTTTGAATTTGGAAACTATTTTTCTGAGCTATTCTTCCTATATTTTATTTTTATTTTAAAATTGAAGAAGTTATGTCTAATCTTAATGGTTGGTGGCATTGGTGCTTGTCCAAGCAAGGATTCTGTCCTGTTCTAACACTTGTTGTGGAAAACAAAATATGAAAAAATTGGATTCTGCATGAAAGAACTTGAAACAATAGCTTGATGAATGGTTACCTATCAAATTTCATTGCAAATCGCACTCTATTATTCTTTTTACTATAATAAATTGACTTGATTTCTTTCATTCTACCTTGCTGGATTTCTTTGTTCTCTTACTTTTTTATTAAGAAATAGTTAGTTAACCATTTGTGCTGTATCACTTTCCAGCACAACTTCCCCCGAACTTTGGAAGCTCTAATGCTTCTGATCAAAATCAACCAGTGTTGTTTAATTCAACAAATGGTTTGATGTGTTATGCAAGAGATAAGCAAAATAAACTTTAATGACTAAAGTATATCATTTAGAAGATGATCCGGTACCTAAAATGCTCTGGATCCTTGAACCTGGCATCTTTCAGGATTTATTTCCCACAATGTTGGTGGGTTTGCAATCTCATAGAAACATTGTTACACTTTCATTATGTGCCTTGAATTTTCATAATGCTATTTTGAATTATGTTGAATTTGGGAACTATTTTCTTGAGCTATTCTTCCTATATTATTATTTTTGTTTTAAAATTGAAGAAGTTATGTTGCATCTACTCCTGAATTGGTGCTTGTCCAAGTAAGGCTTCTGTCCTGTTCTAATGCTTGTTGTGGAAAACAAAATATGAGAAAATTGGATTCTGGATGAAGGAATTTAAACAATAGTATGATGAATGGGTTACCTGTCAAATTTTATTGTAACTCACCTTCTATTGTTCTTTTTACTATTCTAAATTGACTTGCTTTCTTTCATTCTACCTTGCTGGTTTTCTTTGTTCTCTCTTCTATTAAGGAATAGTTATCCATTCTTGTTCTATCACTTTCCAACACAACTTCCCCTGTACTTTAGAAGCTCTTATACTGCACTTCCTTTCACCTGTGGGGCAGAAGTCCTTACACAAAAATTTGATGAGATAGATAAGCAGAACTCTTAAGAAGATCAATCTGTACATGTTAATTTTTGCAGGGTGATCTCGAGATAGTAAATTGATGATTTGATTCCGCATGAAGGAACTTAAAACAATAGCTTGATGAATGGCTTACCTATCAAATTTTACTCTAACTCCTCTATTGTTCTTTTTACTATTCTAAATTGACTTGCTTTCTTTCATTCTACCTTGCTAGTTTTCTTTTTTCTCTTTTTTATTGATGGAATAGCTGCCCATTTGTGTTCTATCACTTTCCAGCACAACTTCCCCTGAACTTTTGAAGCTCTAATACTGCACTTGCTTTTACTGGTGGGGGCAGAATCCTCACTCAAAAATTTGATGAGATAGATAAGCAGAACACTAAAGATCAGTACATGTTATTATTATTATTTTCTGAACAAATACATGTTAATTTTTCTTGGGTTCTGATTTAGTTTTTCATTTCTAATTAATGTAGTGGTTTTTGGCATCACTATGTTATTCATATTCATGATTTCAGGAACAAATTCTACCAGGTCTTCTATGGTGTATTTGATAACCAATTTGCAGCTATGGATGCCATTCTAAACAGGAAAGAAACATTTGCACATCAGGTGATGCTTTGACCTTGTATAACTTTTTCTTTCAGAACAGAATATAAGTAGTTATCATTTTATGGTTTCTGAGATTTGAGATATAAGGAAAAATTTTCTGCTCAAATACAAGTCCAAGAAATGTTTTATTTAAGTTTAATTTTCTTATGTGGATGGGGAGAGGGAGAGGTGGATGGGTAGTTTGAGCTGATTGGAGGAATAAATACAATCCTCATCCAGAACTACGTGTTGGTTAATGTAAATGGTTTTTCATATCAGTCCATCATTGTGGTTTACTATGACAGGCCTAATTGGAATTGCACAAAGGATAAAAATTTTGTTGTTCAAGGTTGGTTTTAATTCTTTGGTTTTCACATTTTTTTCATCAGCAAGAGATTCAAATTTGTTAGTAGATGGGTGAGACAATGCAAACAACATGGAAGCTTGCTAGGTTTATTCTCGCCATCCTTCTGCAATTATTATCTCTTTTGCTGAGTTTTTCAGTTATGAGTCAAGTGTTGAAAACCCTGTCCCCTCGTGGCTTTGATAGATGAAAAAGAGGTCATCATCTGATTCTACTCATACTGCTCTGGATTATTTCAAATAAAGTTGCTCTTTGGACCTTTGTGCCCAATCATGTTAATTTTTATTTTTGTGCATCGTCATCAAAATTGCGATTCTATTAGGTATTGTTTAGGCTTTGTCTTTCCCTTCTTACAGCTGTGCAGAATAAATCTGATTTAAAACTTTGAATTACTTAATTATGGTTTTCTGATCCATCACCTTTCACCACCCCCCCCCCCCAAACAAAAAAGCTGGAGTCTTTAACTTTCCTTATAGCTGCACTTATTTTCATTGTCCTTTTTGTTCTTTCCCATCATTATTACATCAGCGTTTATGCATGTTTATTGCTTTAGCATGTTTTACAATGGCCATGTTTGCACAAGGGCACACATCAACATCATGCAGGTTGACTGTAAATTCTTCCAAGCTTACCAAATAATATTTTGGTGCATATGTTTTGAAGGTTTTGGAATCTTTTCTGTGAGAAAATTGACAATCCAAAGTATAGTAAATTTTATTGAATTATGATGCATCATACTCCCAACAGAGATTAAATTCTGAACTTTTGCATTCTTAGTCTTATACTTTTGTGTTGAAGGCATTCAAAAATTTATTGGATAAATACTTGGGAGGGAATTTTGATGTACCAAACCTGTGTGTTGGGCGAGACATCTCGTGACACATTCTTCTTTAGAGAATTAGTCTCAAGGTGATCTGGAAATAGCAAATCAATGCATATTTAATCTCAGATGCTTTCTGTTGCAATCAGTACTTTTACATGTAAGTCAACAACTATTTTGTAGAATATAAATCATGACAAACCTTGAATAGAGCAGCATATCTCGGTTAAGCTTAGATCCTGTATGATTCAAATTACAAAGCTCTTCCCGTTGCCTTTTCTGAATGTTTCATTAAGATTGTGTTGCTAGCATAAACATTTTTAGAGAAAGAATCCCTTGTACATGAACTAGATGAAAATGGTGAGCATGATGCCGGGTGTAGTTAATTTAACTTGAGATAAGTATCTGCTTAGTGGAACACTGATGTGCATTAAGGAGAAGAAAAGTAGGGGGACAGCAGTCTTCCTAGAAGTTAACCACATCCACGCACAATGACACCAACCTGCATTATTTTATTGTTGAAATGGGCATTAAGATTGCCATGATGCGGTGGACTTTCCTTAATGAGTTTATTAGAAATGACCATTAGTAGTGAGGAAATGAGGACCCCTTCTACTCATATTGGATCGTATCTATTGTGAATCTCTTTGTTGTAGTCCCTTTCTTGTAACTATCTTTTGCTGAGCTTCTATTTGCTAAGTTTTAAAGTTTTTATTCATGAAAATAGCAAGTATTAATGAAAATGGGCTTTTAAAGTTATTGGCTTTAGCAACAGGGTAGAAAGGTGCTTTTATTTTTATATATTTAGGATGAAGAAAGTCATACAAAATATCTGTTTCATATATTCATTTGTCGTGCGAATGTTAATACTGAGAGGGAGGGGAATTGCAGCAGAGGGTAAAAGAAAAGAAAAAGCACAGAAAGGAAGGGTTTGTTAATCATTAGGATTGGAAGGGAAGCCAAGGGAAGGAAAGAGGGCAAAAGTAAGGTTTACTGAGATGACACATGCAAGTGCCGTTGAGAGAGGAAAGGGGAAAGAGGAAAGAAGTGGGAATAGAAGAGAAGCTTTTGGTTTTGCGCAGAAGGGAGATAATAATAATAATAAAAAAGAACAAAAAAAAAGGGCAGTCTTTTTTAGTGGGCAAATGGCATGTATATTGTATCTTAACCCTGCAACTATCACATACTTCCCAAAAGCTTGGATATACCCATGAGCACTGAACTTCTACTTTCACTAATCCCAAGGCTCTCCTCTCTCTCAATGTCTGGTTGTATATACTAACAAGGATTTGCTATAATCTTTTTTATTTTTTTAGGAGGTTAAAGTTGTTAATGAATTGGATTGATCTCCTAACAATTGACAGACAACCCATTTGTTACTAAGCAAAGTTGAACTGCTCTCTTTAACCTGAATTGATGCTTTTAACTATTTGTTATTAGGCAAAGTTGAGCTACTATCTCTAACTTGGGTTGGTGCATTTTACTAATTACAGCTCTGGTCAGTAGCCCAAAATCAATTTCATGCTTACCCTTCAATCTCATAATAAATAATTTTGTGTAGACGTGTAAGACCTCGAAACATTCAGATGCCAGATGCAGATGGGATGGATCGGGTGGGTCACGCAATCAAAGCAGGGAAGCAGATGCCTAATTTTATTTGGATTTTGGACTTCATATCATGTAAGTTCAGCTGCCAGCCGAAGGCTTGTGATATGGGGACAGGCACAGAAACTGATAAAGGTGCAACAGGGAAAAAAAGACTGAATTATTGATTCAAACGTTCAAAGTTCCATCGAGCATCTTTTTCATAACCGTTGACATTTTTTCATCTCTCATTCATTCCTCTTCTGTGTCCTTCTTTTTATTTATTTTTTTCTCTTTTGTTTCCTTCTGGTTTAGTACCACTACGTCCTGGACCACCAAAACGTAAACGCAATTTCACATAACCTTTTCACTCACGCTTACAAACAAGTTTTACAGCCCCTACCCAACCCTCCCTCTTTAGAAAAGGCTTCATACTTCTTTAGTATATAGTATTTTCCAATTTCTTTCTTACTATCCCAAAAGAAAGTGATTGGGGAAAATTTTTTTCTTGGAAATTGATTACCAACCAGTCCTTACGTGGAATTCGAATTGTGAGGAGGAAAGGAAAAAAAAGATGTGATTGAATTTGCAAAGAAATGGTCACATATCATATGGTTTGGTAACTCTGGTTCTGGCAGTCAATTACGTTCACTTGCATTAGTCAATAGATTCGATATTAATGATCTATTATATTGCGATTAGTTATTTTATTTTAATTCCATCTTTTAAATGTTCTCTTTTTCTCAAGAGGTTTTTGTAACTCTTTGGAATTGGACCTAACTTTACATATACAATTTCCCAAAAAAAAAAAAAAAAGAGACATGAGTTCTTGCCTTGTTGAGTCTTGATTTAACTTTATTGTAATTATAAGTTGTAATTTTCTACCTGGAAATATCAAAAAGAGAGTTTCGAATGTAGTATTTGTCCGAGAGAGTACTTTTTGTGAACAATGGAATTAAAATTAAACTCTTTAATAACAACATTCCTTATTCATTGGTGACACGTATATACCATCAATCATGCATGAATGCCTGTAAAGTGAATTGAGCTTTGACCACCTTGCAAGGAATAGGCAATGTGGGGAATAGAGATGTCAAATCGGCTGCCATGACATGGGATCGTGTTTAGCATGATTTATTATTATAAATATATTTGTGTCCTGTTTAATTAAAATTTTGAGTTCATTGAGTTGATATTAAAAGTTAATGTTAATACGTGACACACGGATTAATATGATATGATATACAAGTATTAATATGTTGTGTTATATTAGTTTATAAATATTATAAATGAGTTTAATCTGTTGATTTTTAGTTATGTTTTATATTGTTTTTATTATGTAATGAATTTTTTTATCCTTTTTATATTTTATGTTAGTAATTTATAAAAATTAAATTGTATCAATAAATTTATTTATAAAATATTTAAATTATTAATAGAATTATAATTTTTTTATTTTGATTTATCATTTAAAAAAAACTATGAAATAAAAATTACTTAAAGATTGATTATGAAAAATTTAGAATAAGACAAAACACATATGTGAATAAATCATCATATAAGCCTTACTAACAAGGCAAATTAAATAATAATGTTAAATTAATACAACCCATTCACATATGAATTAATTTTTTAATGAATTATACTAGCCCAATACAACTCATTTAATACTTCTTATGGGGAAGACCTGCATTTGTTAGTTATATGATGCAATATAATTCAGAATTAAGAGCACCTCAAAACATTCAAATTTCTTGTTATTTGTGATTCGTGTTGAGCTTTCTTCAAGAATTTGCACATTATTAATTAATAATCATTATTATAAATAAATATGCATATATATATATATATATATATATACACGCACGCATGAACTTTTACACCATCATTTTCCTTTGGTGCATATATAAAAAAAAAGAGATAACTCTAAATGCATCCATTTTTGGCTGTGATATTAGAGAAATAGAAATTTCAGAAGCAGCCCTACCACCAGATGTGGGTTTGGTTAGATGATCATATGATTAAATAATTTTTAATTTTTTTCTAAATATGGGCTAGCTGTCAGTTCTGTGCTTCCGTCAACTAGGTTAGCAGGGAGAACTAGAAGGCCGGGATCGTCAATCCAAAGAGAACAATGTCTGGCCTTCCACCGACATGCTTACCTCATCTCTTTCTTCTGCTCCTCCTCCTTTCGCTACCTTAATACTGTAAAATTCTTAATTCTTTTGCTTTAAACGAAGGGTACAATGGTAATTCTATTGCGTGCATTACAGGCATTTCAATCCATGAAGCGTACGTGTAGGGTCATCATCATTGAGAGGAGAACGAATACTCACGTGCAAGACTGAACTAATAGCGGATGAATGAATATTCCTTCTTTTATTCCCTTTTTTTTCCTTTTTTTTTTCCCTTGAGCAGATGATACAGCCTATTTGAAAATAAATTATTGCTTGTAAAATATATTCTCTCAAAGAAAGAAAAGATATAAAATTGTACATTCATTCTTATTTTCCAAACTTGCGATTTCTATTTAAATTCCTTATAATTGATCTTAGAATAAATGAAATTTCGAGTTATAATTTCCACATCACGTCAGGACTTGAATATAGAGTAGAAAAAAGATCATATCAATTGGACCGCTCTTTGCAAAGTTACAAAATAAATTGAAATCTAAGCTTGAGACCTTCACTTGAGTCTATGACTGAAGGGGAATTAACCAATCTTTTATCTCAAAATGTCAAAGATATTGTTTGAAGGGGAGGTTAGGAGAGAGGAGACTGAACAAAGAAATGAATATTTTTTAGATTCATTCGATTTTTGCTGTTTATAGTAAAAGTAAAAAACTTGAAAGTTAAAACTTTCTCGATGGATAATTCATAACCATTGGTCCTTTTCTCCACTTGGTATATATTCTTTCATGGAGTCCACCTCACATAGCTAGTCAAGACAAATGCAACTTAATTGTGAAAGAAAAAGACGGCAAATTTTTTATAAAAATTAATAATATTTATCGATAAATATTTCTTGCCTTTCAAAAAAACAAAAAGACTGGGGAAATTTTTTTTTAGTATAATTTCCCTCAAACTCATATAGTAGTTAAAAAAAAAAAATTGTGATCCATGTTCAATAGCTGTCATGATAAAAGATAGGACATTACCAATAAAGGAAAATTTGAGAGGTACTTGTATAGATGCTTTGCGTGTGACTTTTTTTCCTTTGTAAAGAAAGTAACAATACCACCGCCATCCGCCATTCACACACCTAGCAACTAATTTTTTTTTTTCAAGAAAATAAAATGTATGATTTATTTATATAATTATTTTGTGATATTTAATAAATTTAAAATTTAAATCATACATTAATAATTTCATTTTTATCATCAAATTACTATTTATAAAAAGTAAAATAAAATATATTATGTACAAAACCAAAATAGAAATATTTCTCTTAGGAAATTAATATTCCCTTATGATGAACAAGTTTACTACGTACCATTGAACACTAGTCGAAAGATTGACAGGGACTAAATTAATTTAAACAAAATGCAGGTAAACTACTAAGCTTTTTTTTTTTTTTTTGGGAAATTAAAACTCAAATTACAATTTTTTTTTCTTTTTTGCTGAAAAGAAGGTGACTAGCTACTCCATGGATTATATTATGGCCCTTCTTTCTCACTCTTTTTTTTCCCCCTAAACATAGAAAAGGGCATTGATGTCATTATAAGAAGGGCTATCTCTAAATTATTATTTTACCCTTTTCTTTTCACTGTTTTTATCAATTTCTTTTTTTTTTCTCCTTCAACAGCCACCCCATGTTTCCGAGGCAGGTTCAGCGAATCCAAAACGTTGGGGTTTCAACTGCGAGGGGTCTCTCCCAAGGTGACGCAACTCCACTCCCCCCGCATAGGCTAGCACATCGCTCACGTTCATGCTAACGTTAACATTCCCATTGCCACCACCGTTATGGTGATGGTCTCCAGTCAAACCTAGAAAGTCCCTGGTGAAACGTTCGCAGCTCTTCTGCCACGTGGCCAGGTTTCCAGCCGTGAAGCCCAAGAACTCCGGGGAGAGATGACTCGACATGTTGTTGTTGTTGGTGTTGTAATTGTTTATTTGCGAGGCGATTGGACCAACGGTGGCAGCCTTTTGAAGGAGAGCTGTGGCTGACAAGTGAGGAGTGGCCGACATGGCAGCATTGGAGGAAGGGTTGTTGTTGACGTGGAGATTTTGGAAGGGTGAGGTGATGAGGGCCTTTGGAGGTGGCGGGGGTTCTTGGAAGAATGGCGCGAAATGGAGAGTCTCAGGCCTGACATGAAGTGGGTTATTAGGGTTAGGGTTAGAAGTTTGAGTAGGGTCGACCCATGGGTGGAGAGAGATATGGGATTGGAAAGGGAAAGGAGAAGATGAGTTGGGGTTGGAATGGGATGTCAAATGGTGGAGAGCTGGATTTGTGGTGGCTGTGGAGGCAAGTTGGTTGGCTGAGAGTCTTGCAGTTTCTTCAGCTAATGCATCGCAAAATGCTCTGTGAGTTACGAAGCTGTCCTTCCTACATAGGTTTCACAAGAAAAAATTTACAAGGTCGTAATTAATTGCATTAGCAAGCAAAAGAAGAGGAAATGAATGACACAGATGTGTAATGGTGGATCAATTAAGGGGTTTTAGATTGTAATGGTTTAACAGATGGAGTTTTGATTATCCCTCAAGAAAGAGAAAGTGAATGTGGGATTTTGACAAAAGATAGAATGGATGTTCTCGCTTATGGAATAGAAAGAAGAAAGGGGATAGACTTAGGATCGTGCATGCGCTATGTATCATAATAAGTTTACAGAAAATTAAAGGAGAAACTATCTTTGTTGATCAAATATAAAGGAGGAGAGAGAGAGAGAGAGATGAATGACAGTTAATTGAAGAGTATGCATGCAAAGATGGCTCAAATTTTCAAGCATTTGGTAAATAATGATGGATACTGTTAGTATTTTGAAACTAGATCTCTTCATCCATGTAGCAAAGATATGCAATTGAAACGTGAATCTAATTGATAGAGGGGAAGGAAAAAGAAAAGCAAAATCGTCTGCAGATATTTTTGCAGATTTATTCAGTTTTACTCATGATGAAAGTTTCAGAGATTCAGTATTTTCTGCAAATTAATGATGGCATGCTATATGAAAGAAGAATATAGGAAAGAAAAATAAAGTCAAGAACGCTGGTAATAATGCAGGCTTAATAGCTATTGAATCGTGAAGAATACGATAAAATACTAAGGATTATGATGACTGTTCCTTATCTTTTTACTATATCGTTTATTTTTCAGACATGAACATGGCAGCTGGTTCAGATTTCAGAGGCATTGCTTTCAGTTTCTCTTCACAAGGTCACCGGTAACAGACACTTGTATTAATGGTGATTAGTGTCTACTTCGACGAAACGAAACCTGCCGCTGCATTTAAGTTCCAGATATATTCCATGCATAGCTTACCACTCTTGTGTAAGAGAACAACTAAAAAAAACCCACTAAACCAAAAACAAAAACGGCCTTAAAGACACTTCCCACTTTGAACTAAAGACCAAGAGTTCTATGAATCCCCCATTAGAGTCCATAAGTGATGAATAGCATAGAAAAGAAACATCAAAATTTATAAAGAAGGAAAGGTTGGAAAACTGAGAAAAAAAAGAAAAATATAAAAAAGATAATTAAAAAAGGATCAAACATCTCAATTATGGTTTTTTTTTAATATTTTTTTAGGAGAAAAAAAGAGATATAAAAAATTACCTAGAGAAAAGGGTTCCACAGTCACATCTGTATTCTCTTGTTCCACAGGTCTTAGAATGAGCCTTCCAATCTGATTGAACAGCATAGATCTTTGAGCATTTCTCACACTTCCACTTTTTCTCTCCGTGTTTTCTGCAATAGTGTTTTTTGATTCCAGTAAGGTCACCTAAAGCCCTTAAAGGATGGTGGTGGACACATGTAGGCTCAGGACAAACATAGGCTCTCTTTTTTATCTCTTTGCTGTTTCTTTGCTTCAGCTTCCATGGAAGGTTATGGCCTCTTCTATGAAGCTGAAGATTCTGATCTCTCTGGAAACCTTTGTTACAGATCTCACATACAAATCTGTTGGTAGCCAATAGCGTTTTTGGAGATAAAGCAATCACTTCAGCATCTGGATCTGTAAAAGCACCAAACGATTAAAATAATGGAAAATTTGAGAGAGATGGGAATTAACAAAGTCTTACCTGGGTTCCCTGGGAGGCTTCTCTTCTTCTTAATTTTTTCTGGCTGCTGCTGAGGAGAAATGGTTGAAACAATAGGATTTAAGCGACCAAAGTCTTCAACTCTTGTACCAGAAGAAAAACTAGCCTCCTCAGACAAAGAAGTAGAATTGGACATAGCTGCAGGAAACATGCCTGAGAATTAAGAAGCAAACTTCAAGACAGAAAAACAAGAGAAAACCTCAGAAGACTAGTCTGATCTCTCTCTCTGTTTGTTTGATATCTTGTTCCACTTTATTATTAGGTCTTGTTCAAAGAGTGACCACTTTGCACCTTTGAAAGAAACAACAAGAAAGAGAGCAGCAAAGAGTAGCCCAGAAATAGAGAATCCCTAGCTCTCTGGACACAAACTAAACACAGGTTTGTTAATAAACAGGTGGCAGTGACATGTAGATACAGAAAGGCATCATTCATTGGGAGGAAAAAGCAAAATATCGTGAAGAGATGATGATGATGGGTTATTCTCCAAGTCGCTATCTAGCCATGGATTGCTTGTCTGATCGACTCTGCTACGAAATTCAGATCATATATATCTCTTTCCTATCTATCTCTTAGAAAACCAACAAGAGCTGAGAAATATTTCTCTCCCCATGCAATCAAAACATGAGGAAAATACAGACAATAAGATGGTTTTTTCTCTAAACCTCTCCACTACCCAGTAACCCTCCCCTTTCTATCCGTTTATGTGTATATAAAGATTCACAAATAGATTGAGAGAGAGAGAAGAGAGAGACCTTCAGGACCAGGGTTCTGTAGATAACAGAGTACAGCAGGTGATGATTACACTGGCAGACTAAGGAGAGATGGGGTGGTAAAATTAGACCCCAAAAATAAATAAATAAAATTTCAGGTGAGGAAAAAAGGCTAAGAAACCCAAAGGAAACGCTAGGAATTTTACAGAGGGAAGAGAGAGGTGGCTGCTCAAAGCAAGGACTAGGCACCAGCTCACTTGATTCAGAAAAAAAAAAATTTTCTCCATTATAGTTTTAATAATAATTTATCTTTTGAACTCTCTGACGTTGGCACTTTCTGTCTTTTCCTTTGTTCCTGTTATAAAACACCCAACAATCTTCAGTTCATATATCAACATTTTTGGCTTATGTTATTAAGCTTTTAGATTGTGTTCTTTTATATCCATAATTGAACTCTTGATTTCTTGCATCATGGCCACTAATTCATACACAAAAATTATCAATTTTTTGATGATTAGAATTACACACTTCTAGTTAATAGTAGCTATTAACATTGTCCATTCAAATGTTGGAATGAGTTTTTGAAATCTTAATGAATATCTTTACATTCCACTACGCATGTAATTGATGATTTTTATACCCCTTCTGTCTCTCTTTCTTTTGTTATTATAATTCTCTCAAATCCCTATTGTGTGTAGTGAAAGAGCTCAACTCAAGCAATTGGGAAGGCCTCTCTTCTTTTTCTCTCTTCTTTATATAATTTTATTTATTTCAAACTCAAATTTAGACACGATAATTTATATATTTGTATTATGTAAAATATTAATAATTTATATATTTACATTATTTTTATACAAAAATTACATATTATAGTTCGTATCGACATAAAAATATAAAATATATATTTTTATTTTATTAAATTTATTTATAATTTTTGTTAAAATTTTAAATTATATTATTTTTTTATTTTTATTTGTATAATTTTCGTGTAGTGTCACATGTTATGTTTGAGATATAGCATCAAATTGACGATTTTATTCCCTTTCATTTCGTCCAAATCAGGTGACCTCTTAGGTATTTTCTTAGCATGAATTGATATAAAAGTAATTGCATGTAAAAATATAAGGGGGATTCCCTTCAGAGGGCATGCAGTGGGCTAAACATGGCCTGGGCAGCTCCTTAGTCCTAACAGCTGATGATATATCTCCATTATCATATACACTAACTAGACATGTGTAAGAGATAGGTTATGGCGTTGGGAGAGACCCTTCGAGAAAACAACTACTAGCATATATAATTATGTTCTTGAAGCACTTCGGAATCCTATGTGATATATATGAGCCGGGGTCGTTCTGATATCCAAAATCTATTGAATCATTTGGCTTCTGAGTGAGATTCATGCTCCATTTCTTTTCGGCTAAGATGAGATATACGCTTCATTGATTCACCTTTTAAGGCCGGAGAGTCTTTTGCGTTTGCTTGGCGTGTATACTATAACTATTACCACCATTTAACATAACTACATAACTACCCTCAATCCCTCACGATCTCTCCAATTCAATAATGTGGCTTTTTCTCATAAAAAAAAAAGGTTAACTCAAAACCATATTTATAACTTAAACAAGATTAAAATAAGAATTTGAAAGATTATCTCAAGGTATAAACCTGGATTTGATATTTTCTGTCCAAGATGGCCAAAAATGTTCCTTGTCATAATAAAACAATAAAAGCAAAAGAAAGGGAAAGAAAGATTAGTTGGGACAAGAAGTTACTCTAAAACATGAGCTTCGATACTGGTAATTGGACAAGAAGGAAGATAGATACACAGCAAGAGAAAGACAAAAGGAAACCCCATTTGGCTGACTTGTTATAAAATCTTGAACTAGTAGAATACAAAGTTAAATAGGGTGGTCTCTGATCTAATATTATAGTCTTTTGCAAACCTAACTTTATTGAATGTATGATTCGATTTTAAAATCTTGACTAAAAACAAGTACCTGAAACCATTAATGCTAACAAACCAATTAGACTAATTCAACGTTTGGGTTTTGGTCTTAAGAGGAAAAAAAAATAAATAAAAGATCCCATCAATTTGGGATTGGCAGTTGGCACATGCTCACGGCCATTGGCCAAAATCCCAACAAAACAAATATAAAAGATCTTACCTTTTCAAGCTATTCAAGTACTCATGCAGAGGTATCATAGCCATCTAATTATAGTCTTTCAATTGGCAATGCAATTTTCTGATTCTGATTTTCTACTTTTTTCTTTCCTCTGTTTTAATGCATGCAGAGAGAGGGATTGGAAAAGAATAGTGAACCCTAACCAAGGGGCCCATGCGCTTATTCACGGGTTCTTCTATTACCAGATTCTCGCATGCGGTTTTGGCTCTTTTACCGCGCAAGAGCACAAAAACAGGTTTTTTTTTTTTTTGGTGCAGTAGGGGACCAATTTTTGGGGTCTTTTTCTATGTTTTCCTGGAAATTTTGTTATAATTTTCTCCTTTGTCCTCTTATCTTATCAAGATTCTGTTACCCAAACTCAGCTATTTATTTGACTATCTAATAAGCTCAAAGATTGTTACCCTTAAGGCATAGTGGTGTTATAACTATGTTGGACAAGTTACTAAATTAAGAACGTTAGAAAACAAAAGATCAAAAAAAAAAAAAAAAAGAAGAACCAATTCCCTTGTTCTGAATTGCAGTCTTGCTATGACCAGTAAAACTTGATTTTTCCATCTCTAGCTTGGTTCTATGCTTACTATGTCTAGCAACATCATTGATGGCACCAGCTTTCACCCATTAAATAAGGACGTTGCATGTCGCCAAATAGGAGCCATCCAACATGTTGAGAGGTCCAAATAATTGCTTTTAAGGATAATACCGAGTGTCCTAATTTACTAATTCATGAGCCATTATTATTATTATTATTATTCATCTCTTTTTTTAAGCACACACTTCTCAATCTTTTTCCATTAGGATTAAGTATAAAATCTTTTGGGTGATTATCAGCAGTTTTATGGTACAAATATTACTAGTTGAAGATCTTTCGAGTTTCCAACAACCTGCAAACTACGATTACTAGGCTTCTAAATTGAGGGGACCATGGGCCAGAACTGAGCTCAAGTCGGACTGAAAGTTGAGGCCTTAAAAATCAGAGCCCAAAAGATCAGTAGGTCCCATTTAAATGCAACAAAGGTGGGACCGAGAATGATGATAGGGCCCACATTAAAGATCGTGACCTCACGAGAAAGATAGACAGACTGAGTGAGGCCTTTTTTTTATATTAGAAAAATATTACAGTTGTTCCCTTTCACGAGCGCTGACTTAGACAGTTGGACGCAAACCTTAAAGCCCGACCTCGATCCACGTGTTGGACTCACTTATCTCCTTGGGAGATTGAGAGAGGTAAAGAAAAAATTTTTTTGACAATTCAATGATTATATACACTCATGGAAATTCGTTTTTGTATTTCTTACTCCAACTTTACCTCTCATTTACAATTTTCAATCGTGAAAAAAAAAAATTATCGTTGAATACATACAAAAATATATAGATAAACAGCCAGACATAGGAGAGTGGAGGGTATAAAAATAAATAACTAAAATTCCTCATTTTACACCATTCACACATGATACAATTCTCACAGGCATAAATGAATGTAAATTAACAATGTACATTGGCACTTTAGAAAATTTTAGCGAATTTGAAAAACTATATAGCTAAGAGAGTATGATAAAAATTACTACATTTTCATATCAATAGGTGGTAAAAATAGAAATAATTTGTCCTGAAACCAATGATCGTTCTAAGAAATCTCATTCATCTTCATTCTTCTACTCTTTCCAAACAGTTGTTAGGTATAAAACAATAAGAAATCCCCCATAGTAGTTAGAATGGGATAGAGCCGGTGACAATGGGATGGGTCCTAGACGGCACTTACACTATGATCCTTGTGAACAGCCAACTGGAAAGATAAATTAGAATATATATATATATATATATATATATATATATATAAATGATCTTGTGATTGAACTAAGATGATGGCTTGTTTGTCTTGACCATGAAATTAGAGATTTTCCAATTTTCTTTTGCCTTAGGGTCAACTCATTAGTGTGAAATTTGACACCAAGAACAAAAAAAAAGCAAAAAAACAACACTGTGGAAGAAGAGTACCTAAATAAGATTTTAATCATTGTCCTGAATAATGTTGTGTCTGGTGATTGAGTCACGGATGAGAAGACGAAAAAAAGAGAGCAGAAATAGGACCATGCGATAAAGAGTATTATCATGGTAATAATAATTAATGATGATGACGTGATTACCAATTGTTGATTCCTTCTTGATCATTCATCCTCAGTGCTGCTCCTGCATTGTCCATGATTTAACACAGATACAAGTATGAACTTCTCTTCCAGATCCATACCTATGACAAATTTGAAACATTTAGAGGTAATCAGACTAGCTGCAACCAAATACAGATCAGAAAATTTAAACTTTAGTCTTCATGTAATCTACTTCATCAAATATTTTGCGGACTTAAAACAGCGTATGTTATTATACAAGCAACTGTAATTATTTATTATGAATAATTTATGACCAAAACATGCAGAGCTATTCCATAGAGAATTTCCATGTTTCCATCTTTTAGAACCAATTTAGGACCCCTCAGCAATGACAAAATTCCACTGTTGTTACTTGTTAAATATACTTTGAAGAGGAAGCAAACAGGGAAGCAAAATGCCTCACTCTACAGAAAATTGGTACTTGGATGCTTGCAAGGGAACAGTTAAAATGAAAGAGACCAAGCTCAAGACAACTCTATACATCATGTCGACCTGCCAATCTAGTGCGGCAGACTTACTACAGTGTGGAAGTGGGACTCTGTCAACATTATTTCACTGCTTGCACTTATATTTTACTTTCTTCCAACCAAAAATTTCCAAAGAGTTTAGAACTATTCTACTTATACTTCCCCGTAAGACTGAAAGAATTAATCTTTCTGCAGCCGTTGATTCCACGAAATGACTTGAACATGGACCATGTGAAACTACATTTATGTTTACCCTACCATAATGCAAGTTGGGCATTTAGGCACAAGTAAGCAACAACAACATCATCAGATTCATATCAAAACAAATGAAGCCCTCATAAGAAAAAGTTAGAGAAAGTTGCAAACTTTTAACAACTAGGGCTTATGACATGCTTTCTTAGTGAGGTTATGGCCAAGAATTCAAGATTAATATCAT